GAGGATCGGTATTGGATCGAAGAGGCACCCATGTTAGTGATGGACCAGGTTGTCGAAGATTCCTGGTGCATGTTTTCTCCATAGCCTGCTAGGATATGTTTGAAGATGTGCTCTTTTGGCTCTATGGTGTCTTCTTGCTCTCTGCTCGGTGCTTCATCGTTTTCTCCTTTTGGTTGTGTAGCACAGTAGCAGTGAAGCTGAATGGTCGGCTGTTTGTAGTTTCTTAGCTCCTTTTGTTTTCAGCGTTTGTTTGGTTTCCACTTTCTTCTTTTATTTGTTGCTTGATAATTGTCACGCACTATGTTTTTCTATTACTCTTTGGGGTTTTTCTTTGAACACTTGCTTTTGTATATGTTTTGTTCCTTAATAATAATTGGCCGACTGTTTTATTAAAAAAATATAATTTCTTTAAAATTATATAAAAAGTAAAATCCTTAAAATTTTCAAACCCTAATTCCATTTTCTTTTAACATTTCATTTGTCGATCATGTCCACGCCCTCCGTGTCTCCACCTCCCTTATCATCTTTCTTGTTGAATGTTGTTATTCTTATTGGCGTGCTTGGCGTCAGCCACTAGGGTGTCGTAAAATTTCCCCTTGTTGTCATCTTTTTGCAAATTTTCCCTTTTTTTTCTTCGTCGGTGGTTATTCATTGGGTGACTATTCGATTGAAGAAAACGTCAACAAATGACAACGACCGACGTGAGTAAAAGGAATTAAAATTAAAGTTCTCAAAGTTTTGAGGTTTTCTTTCTAAAGATTTGAGAAAATTTGACTTTTATGAAAAGTACTATAATTTTAAGGTTTTTTTAATTTCAAATATTTTTTTGAAATTTTATAAACATAATATGTGTTAGATAACAATTTTTTTTAATTACAGCGATGGATGAGACACCTAAATAATAAACTTAAATTAATAAAAAATATTTAACACTCAAATGAGAAAAGATATATAGTTTAGACACGTTTGTATATTATGCTTTTATTTTATTATATGCTACTATTTCTTTTCAATTACTCCTACTTATTTAGAATTCATTTTTCAAATCTAATTGTTTTATTAAACGAAAATATTAATAATTATATTTTTGTTTGAGTTAATTTAAACGTATCTATTTGTGTCAATGAAGAATGATATATTTTAAAAGAAAATAAATAATTTTTTTTTAAAAAAATTAGTGTGATTATTTATTAAAGTTTAAGCCTAAAACATCTTGAATTTGATTTTTATTAATTGATTTTATTTGTGATGTGTCATCAACGATTGTGATTTGCGAAGCCTAAGGACCTTCTTAATTCCGTGTATCAAACACTCAGCTAGATATTTTCCCATTTAAAGTCCAAGCCAAATTTGCGGATAATTTTGTCATTTTCTATTAACAAGGCTACTCCCGTCATTTTACACAACAAACATTATCGTCGTTCACGACCACACAACAACGATAACGGCATAAACCCAACAGATCCCGTGAAGTAGGTAGGGTAAACTATACATTTAAGACCACAACCATTTTTTTTTTGTTACTAAATTATTTTTTAAATCACATTCAATGATACATTTTAATTTTATTTTAGGCATAAATAATTAAACAATTTATAGAACTGTTGATATAATTTTTTTTATATTTTTAATGATGACATGATATTAATTTATGATAACATGTTATTATCTCCACTATTTTTTTAACAACGAACGACTAAAATGAAACTAAAATTAAATGTTAGGTATTATTTTGAAAAAATATTTGAGTGATCAAAATAGAAAAAAAGGTGATAGTTGGGCTTTTGATTTTTTTTCAATGATGACATTGTATTGATTTATGTTGACTCGTGAGCATCTCTACTAATTTTTTGGATAAATTATACATTTAGTACTTAAACTATTAGTTTTGGTCTATTTTAGTTGTAGACACCCGTTTTTGTCCGAGTCTACAAAAACATTATATTATTATTATTATTTTAATTTATATATAATAATTATTTTGCAGGCAGTTCTTTGTCTGATGTAGTATAACTCAACCATTGAAATCTTGGCCTATTATAGATCAAATTCATATGAGATCTCTTGTCATTTTTGTTTTTGAATATTGCAAGCTCCCAGAGGCAGGTTCCATGGCTTAGCTAATTTTTTATTGCGAAAGCCTCCACAATATAAGTCAGGGTGGTGTACATAATTTGAGCTTCAAGTCGCTTGCTTCCAATTATGGGATCGAAGGAGGTTACAGTAGAAGATAGACTAGAAGGCCTATGACAACTAAACAATGAAACTAAGAACAAAATATCATTGCCCAGATTAACCGGGTTGACTCAAGATGGTTTGGATTTGCTCAATTCATTGCAATTCAATCTCGATCTTCTCTCTCCGCAACTTCCTACGATGAAGAGGTTCAGTCTGCTAAAGCTATGCTCGGAACTTGGAAAAGTCAATCCCAAAGTTTGAGAATGAGCATTAAGAATGCGAATATGCAAGCAAAGGATAATATGAGGAAAACTGCTCTAAAAGAGGGAACTTCTTCTCGGTATTGGAGAAGAATCCATGGTTTGTCGGTGCAATTTGCAAACGAAGGTTGGAATGACATCTACTGCAGAAAGCATCACAGAGAGTCTTTGCGGTACCCGTCAATAGATGGTTCAGGAGGTTGAAAGAAGCGCAAGCACACTCATGACTTTCGAGGAATCAACGGGCGCATTAAAAAAAGGCTGAAAGTGAATACAAGGGACACAAATCATTGCTATCATGAACTCGAAATTTTCTGTCCAAGATGCAACGCCACGATGTTATTGAATGGCCCCATGTTTAACCACCACATATCTCAACTATTCCACTACACCCCTAAAAATTCAGCCATAATCTATGGCCATTACATACTGCTTCTCTTCCCCTATATATTCAGCAAACACGTTGCTTTAAAAGGGGACAACAAAAAGAAAAAGGGAAGGGGTAATAACAAGGCAGAAAAAGAATTAAAGGGAAGAGACCATCGGCTTCACGGGGACCTTTGTATTCATGAACGTCCTTCCCTCCATTTCTAAAAAATTTTGAGTGTGGGGTAACCCCTGACACCATATTCACTTGCTAAATTTCTGTTTGCTTCCTCATTGACATCAACATTAGCTAGAAAGACTGAAGGGTAGTGTTTACTCGATATAGATGTTGCTTTCTCATACTCGAGAGCAAGATGCTTACAGTGACCGCACCAAGGAGCGTAAAATTCGACAGCCATAAAATTGTGCTTACTAACAGTTTCAATGAAGTTGGTGTGATCCAAAGTCAAAACGAACTCTTTCTCTTTCGATTCAATGCTACCGTCGGCTGCTATCGTCAATAAAGAGCATAAGATTCGGCCAACGACAACAATATTTAACGCCAACCCAGTCATTACGACCACCACACACACGAACCCATCGCACACGACCAAGAACAATGGTGAACGGCGGCACGATTTACTTACCGATGGGAGACTAACGAAGACTGCACGACTAAGCGAAGAACTAAATAACGCTAAACGTGATGATGACTAACTCCAGCGACCCCGATTTGCTACGAAAGATGGTGGTGCGACGAGAATGATAGAAGAGAGAAAAGGAAAATGGCACTGCCTGGAAAGGAAAAGAAAAAACGAAACATTTTATTTGATGATACAAGGCAGGAGCAAGTGTTTTTTGTGTTTTAAAAAGAAAAGGGTAAACCAAAACAGAAGTCTTTATATTTGCTAGAGTTTTTGAAAATTGACAAAAGTTTTGCGTTTTTTTTCATTTTTTGCTCTTCATTTTGATTTATTATTTTATTATTATTATTTTAATCATTTTTTACGTTTTTTATTTGTTTAATATTTATTTAATATATTTTTCTAACATTTTCAACATTTTTTTAGAAGAATTCCAACAAATCAAAGATAAACAATTCAAATCGGGTATCTAAATTTTAATTTTAATTTTCGCAATTAAAGATAACCGATAAATTAATTGGTACCGAAAGGGCGGTTCAAGGGTGCTAATCCTTCCTTGACCGTAACCGACTCCCGAACCCGACACATTTCTGGTAAAATGTAGATCAGGTAAGAAATAAAGGTATTTGGTAAACCTATTTATTTTTAAAATAAATGATCGGTGGCGACTCTAATCATTTAATCCAAGTCGAAGCCTAATTTCAGGTCCAACCGAAAGACGGTTCCGACATTAGTATTTAAACTTTCAGTTTTTTCAAAATCATACCTAAAGTTTAGTTTTTATTTTATTTTAGACCCCATTCAAAATTTAACATTAAGTTTTAAATTTTTTTTGAAAGTTTATGTACTAAAACAGAACAAAACTGATTGTTAAGGTACTAAATACGTTGATCCATTGAATATTTAACGGTAAAATAAAATAAAAACTAAACATTAAACATAATTTAAAAAAATTAAATATTAAAACAAATCAAAACAAATAATTTAAGTATTAAATACATAGTTTACCTAAATTTTTTAATAACGATGACTAAAATGAAACTCAACGGATCATGGTGTAGTTTACCCAAATAAGTAACGCAGCATTTGACGTCCGTGAAAACGACGTAACCCCTCGTCTCGATATTCCCCACTCTTCAAACGCCACGTGTCGCACACGAGATTTCAAAGATCTTTAGAGATGCTGTAGAGAAACTCGAGCTGCCGGCTTTTGATTTTGTCCAGCTCAGCAAGCCCATCGGGTCCCAAAATCTTATCCACGTGGAAATATCGCTATCCGACGTGGAAATTCCGGAACGAATCCATACCTCCATTTTATCCACGTCAGCACAGCGGGATCGTCTCAATAATATCTTCTTCAATCTCGCGTCGTCCAAACAAAAGGTCGCCTGTATCTGTTCCTTCCGAGTCGCACTATTTCTCAGGCTGTCAATTTATTTTATTAAAAAAAATCTAATCTACAATAAATTTTTAGATTTTTTTTCCCAGAATTTTCATTTTAATGTAAAAATTACGCTTTGAAATTAATTATTTTGCTTTATTTTATTTTTAAATTCGAACATGTTTCCGATCCAGCTGAATAATGGTGGATAGTTGAAGCTTCGCTGACTGGTATCTTCATTTGTAATACCTGTAAGTACTTTAGCTTTATGTCAGATTTGAATTCTTTCCTTTTATTGAATTCCATTAGATTTCATTTTTTGAGCTGCAAAGAAATTTTTAGCCGTAGAATATTCAAAAATTTCTACTCATTGGTTTACTTATAATTGTTTATATCGTTTGATTGGGTTTGGATTGGTAGTAGAAAAGCTTTGCTTTAATTTTAGGAGCAGATTTAGGTTCTTGATATTAGGGTTTTGACTTATAAGTCTTTAAAACTTTTACTTATTTTGATAATTTGGAATTAACTTGTGGTTACATGTTTATGTGTAAGATTAAGTTGCTTTGTAGTATAATGGGTTTGTTCCTTAAAGCGAGGAAAATATCGGGGAATTTTACTTGGTTAAACTTAATGGTTGGATTCTGGCTGATTATTTTGATGCGATGCTCTTGTTTTCCACAGGTTGCAAGCAGCTTATGGGTTACAGAGTTGGTTTCTGAAGATTAAAAGGAGTAAACATTTTTTGCCTTGGTGGTTTTTTTGTGAACTTTTTAGTTATGGATCTCCTTTGTGATTTGCTCGTGTTTTAGGTTGAACTATCTGTATTTCAGAGGTTTGCCTTTTCGAAGATGAAGCTATGTACTATTTATTTTTTGAATCGAGGATTTCACTGTTCCAACCTTGGATTGTCCTTTCTGTTACCGATCTTTTCTAATCTGATTTACAGGTAAGTGTCTAGATGAATGTTAATAGTGATGGTGAAAAAGGTTTACGGGAACTAAATCATCGGCACTACGATGGTAACAAGAGAACTACAAATGGTGTTGTTGCTGACGAACAAGTGATGCTGGAAGAAGATGACCCAAAAGTTAACGAGATTGCAAGAAATGTAAAAGATGGTCGTATTGGGGCTGTTCAGGCTCCAGCCATGCGGCAAATGGCGCAGCCACGGCCTCAAAATGCAATGTGTTACTGGCAGAGGTTTCTGCATCTAACAACGGTTACAGTACTGCTTGTAGAAAATGATGATTCTACTCGCCATGTTGTCACTGCACTTCTGCGCAATTGCTGTTATGATGGTGAGCGATTCAAGACTTTCAAGGATCTGACACTTTTTTTGGCTGAACAGTTACAAAATACAGCTTTATTCCTCGTAATATCTTGGGATATTGTTGTCATGGTTTGGAGGTTGTTCACATTATTCTATACACTATTAAATTTCTCATATGTGCCACTTGGAAGAAGAGCTGATTTCTCAACTAGTCTCATTTGATAATTTGCTTCTCTAATATATATTGCTTGTTATGAGCCAAATTAAACTGATTTCTCTAATATATTTATATTGTTTGAAGTGAGAAGTTTTCTTATTGTACTTTGCTTCTTGTCCATTCAAGTATCAGTAGACTCGGTATTTGGATAGATTTTAATGATGAGATTTTACAATTCCTATTCATCTTTTATCAGTTATTTCATGTTTGATTCATCTCCTCTTCTCTTCTTTATACGAGAGATATTTTTAATGTGTCCTACAGGCTTCTTGCATTCTGGAACACTCAACTTGTCAATTATCTGGTGAAATATCGAGGCTGATATCGCCTGTGCTAACCTAAATATTCCCTTGATTTTCCCAGTTATTGAAGCTGCAAATGTATTACAAGCATGGAAGATACTAGAAGATTTGACCAATCATATTGATCTTATACTGGCTGAGGTGGGAATGCCATCCTTATCTGGTCTTGTTCTTTTGAGCAAGATTATGAGCCACAAAACACGTAAAAACGTTCCTGTGATCAGTAAGCCTCCAGTCTTATATGCATTTTGTCGACTGTTCTAGTATTTCACTCTTACTCTCATTATGAGGTCTTTCAAAGTAGATACTTTAACTACTATTTTTGACGATATCTTCTTGCAGTGATGTCATCTCAGGATTCAATGAATCTAGTCTTTAAGTGTTTGTCAAAAGGTGCTGTTGACTTTTTAGTGAAGCCTATTCGAAAGAATGAGCTTAAGAACCTTTGGCAGCATGTTTGGAGGAGATGCCATAGTGTGAGTCATTAACTTCCTACTTCAGATTTAGGTTCCCTATTATAAGTAGTGATTACAAACTATGTACTATCAAGATTTTCTTCTTGCTTCCTGCTTTATTTTCTTGAAAGTAGATAAAATATTTGAGACTAAAAGCATATTCCGTTAATTTATTTTTCAATTGTATGAAGAAGGTAACATCTAAGACCATTATTGATTAGGAGAACTTCTTCTTGTACTAGTTTGTTAAAAATAAAGAAAAAAAAAGCACAGAGAGAGAGAGAGAGAGATAATTTGATTAAATTTTATGTTTTTATAGTTTTCTTTGCCAAGTGATTAATCTTCTGCTCCCTCAGTCTAGTGATAGTGGAAGTGAGAGTGGAACACAAACTCAAAAATCTGTGAGATCAAAAAGCGTTGAGAAGTCTGACAATAACAGTGGCAGCAATGATGAGGACAATAACGGGTGCGATGGTCTAAATGTTGGAGATGATAGTGATGACGGGAGTGGCACTCAGGTATTATAAATCTTTTTTTTTTATAGAAAGTATCATAAATCTGTCCTCCTGTTGCAGGGTATTTTTTGAGGTTAAATTTAATGGTCAAATTTAGGCCTTAGATTGCTCTGAACTGATATTCTTTCATTAATATATATCATACAGTAGAGAGGGAATTTTTCTGTTTATATTAATTTATAATATTTAAATATATTTGTTTTTAGTTGTAATGGTTCATTCAAGCTTAATTTAAGATAATATTTCACTGAAACCACAATAGCATAGATGAGTTCTTTAAGTTATGGATTACATTAAGCTCTGCTTGTGCTTACCTCTGCTTAGGAAATGATGTACATATTCTAAAGAAAAGAGAGCTGTTTAATTTCGGATCAAATATTTTAGTCATACCACTGCTTCGTACAGATACACACATAACAGTATAGGTATTGTGGATTAGCTATAGCGGACTTTTTCTTCTCCTCCTCCCAAGCGCTTCCATTCTTGGTAGGCTTTCCCTAGCCGGCTCTATTTTACTCTTAGATTTCCACTAATAAGATTTAGTGACAAAATGCAACTTCGATTCCCATTTAGAACTTCAGCCTTAATCCAAAAATTTTATGATAGTCTGCACGAATTAGTTTTTTTCATTCCAAATATATGGCTAATCATGTATAAATGTAACATCATCGTAATCACTTTTTGGTATTTTGGCTTTATCCTCAAATTCCTTATCCTTGATTGTTTAACTTCATTGCTCTCATACTTGGATGAAAAGTTCATAAAGTTGTTAAGAGACCTGTAAGTATATGTAGTGGAAAACTATCTGTGCCTTTGCATTTTGCAGAATTCTTGGACAAAGCACGCAGTAGAAGTAGACAGCTACCGTCTAGTTTCATCCTCCAATAAATTTGCTGAGTGCCCTGATAGTACGTGTGCGCAAGTTGTCCATTCAAATGCAGAAGTATCCGAGAACAAAGGGATGCCAGTGGCTACAGCAAAGGGGTGCCAAGGACGAGATGAACAGCCTGGTAAACATGAATTTCAAATGTGTAGCTTAAAGTCGGTTTGAATTGAGTCAATTGAGCTCAAGCAGTAAGAAGTGTGAGATCAATTTGAAAATCGAGGCTTTGATACTCGGTTCAAGCTCGATTCTAGATAAAAATTGAACTACTTGAGCTCGCTCATCTAGGCTCGTTTATCTAACAAAGACAAGTTCATTTCCCATACTTGATTTTGGATTGTTTGGACTCGAACTCGAGTACGAGTCCAAATTGAGATGTTTCTGATACTAAAAACACTAAATATATATTAAAAAGAAAAGAAAGGTTTGATTTGGCAAGCGAACTGCTCTAGTTGAGCTTTAAATTACTCAATCTGCTCCTTCGATAGCTTTAACCTTTAGCTTCTTGAGCATACTTGAAAACGACCAAACTGATTTTTTGTCTTATTTACACGCTTAGCTTGAAGTGTATCATGCTGGTGGCCAACATCTTTATTCTTTTAGTGCCGTTTTACTTTTCTTTCATTTAATGGTAAAACTGTCATGTCTCTCTTCACTTCTTTTAGCGTTTTGTGATCCTTCCTATTGCAGACAACATTGCAATTGGAAATGGCCTGCGTGTGGACATGCCTAGAAATTTAGGTTTACAACTAGAGTGTTCAGTTGAGGTCCCAATCAGAACAGTTGGAACAAAACAGATTAACCTGCTTGAGATGAGCCCCAGTAAGTTAAATGAACAGATTGATAAAAGGCAGCTGGACCTCAATAGTGAAGCCCCGTCCAGCAAACAGAAGTCTGAAGCAGCTAATCAAACAGGCATTACATCTCTGACCTCTGATCTTAAGAAGGAAATTGCCGAGTATGAGGCTTCAAACAGGCTTTCAAAAATCTCAGATGGCAATGATAAAATTGTCAATGATTCTAAAGAACTACCGTCTATTGAACTGGGGTTGAAGAGAGCTAGAGGAGTTAAAGATGCTGGGACTGTAGTTAGGGATGAGCGAAAAGTTTTGAGACGTTCAGACTCTTCTGCCTTCTCAAGGTATAAAGTAGAGACTTATGCATAGGAACATTCGATTAAACGGAATCCCAGAAAAGTATTCCGCAAAGATTTGTTGAATTCTGATTAGTTTTGACCATTATTTCTTTTACCTGCAGGTATAATACTGCAGCAAATGCAAAAAAGGTTCCTGTTGTCAACACTGGAAGCTCGTCTGCACTTGATAATAATTTAGAACTGACTAGAAAAGGATCAGTATGTGATAATCATTCTCGTTTGGTTAATGACCTTCCCAATCAAAGCTCAAATGTTGGCAGCAATAACGTTGATATGGGCTCCACGACTAACAATGCCTCTGCCAAGGCTGCAGCCGAGAAGAATAAGCTAGCTGTATCATCCACTGTTTTCCAACCTATGACAAATGACCTTTTAAGTGGTGCTCATAAAGTTGTGTTAGACAAGGGTGATGATGTAGCTACTACAGCAGGACCGGCTCAACCTAGAGGAACTCACCAAGACCTGCAAACGCAACACCCACGAAATCATTATGATCAACATTGCCATCTTTCTCATGGTATGCAGCAGCAGCGGCGGCGGCCATCAGAGCATGATTTATCTTTGAAAAAACTAGCTGCGGATGCTCCTCATTGTGGGTCGTCAAATATGTTGGGCGGGCTTGTTGAAGGAAATGGTGGCAACTACAGTACCTCAGGTAGTAACCATGGAAGCAATGGGCCAAATGGAAGTAGCAATGCAGTCAATACTGTCGGGGCAAACATGGAAAGTGATAACGGAATAGCTGGGAAAAGTGGAAGTGGTGATGCAAGTGGCAGCGGGAGTGGCAGTGGGAGCGGCAGCAAAGCAGACCAGACCAAGTCTGCTCATAGGGAGGCTGCATTGACCAAATTTCTTCAGAAAAGGAAAGAGAGAAGCTTCCAGAAAAAGGTAAATAACAATGAGGTGTTAACGATAAATAAGCAAGCTAGTCAAAATCTACCTTAAAAATCTTCAAGCCACTAGCTTATGTTATGCCATGTATTTCTGATATGCAAATATTACGTGCACTAGAATTATGTAAACACAAGATTGTGTTTCCAAATTCCAGTTTGACCAAGGAAAAACTGGTTGCTCCCCTTGCATTTTACAGAAGCATAGGCTCATTTCATCAGTTTTTTCGAAGATAATAGTCGAATGCTACTTTTGCTTTGTTTTTTAAACCGTTGGGACTGATTAATTTCAGCAACTCAGAGTAATTTTTTTTTTCTTAATACTTTGGCTTTTTACAGGTTCGGTACCAAAGCAGGAAACGACTAGCTGAACAACGACCTCGCATCAAAGGGCAGTTCGTGCGACAAACACCGAACAAAAATGACCCTGTATCCGAAGGCAATTCATGTGACGAATAATGAAGGAAACAAGAAGAATGAGAGAGAAATCAAATCCTCTTGCTGATACCACAAAGTGACTGGACTATTTGACAATGTTAGGCACGATGAGCTGTGTTTTATTGCTATAGACCTTCCTTCCTCTCTTTTTTTCCGTTTGTTTTATTTGTTGTTCTGGACTTGAATTGTACATTAGGGGAACTGGAGAAGACAGAAGACTTCTATAACAAGACCCCATTTGATTTGGCTTGTGGATTCATGAACATCATTGAACAATAGGGGACTTGGAAAATCTTTTTAATCATGTTTTATCGGTTGGTTTGTGGTGTTCTTTTAACCATTATTTCATCCTCAGATCATCCTTGGAAATTCGAAATGAATTGCTTAACTATGTATGGTATGATTGCCATTTGAAGCCATCGGCCATCCCGAAATACCAATATCCATTAACAAAGGAAATCCCAAAGAGGAATTAGCCCAACTATTCTTGGAAGAAATATATACAAATTTTTTTTCAATTTTGTTGGATTCTACAGTGGATGTCACCATTAATTTAATAAGAGAAAATTCATAAAGAAACATTAAATTGAACACTAAACTTTAAAAGTTATATAATAAGCCTTACACTTTAGATTTGTTACAAAATGGGCACAACACCATTATCTATTATTAAGGAGGTGGCATGTCATGTTAGATTAATAGCAAATATCTAATTTGACCTTTTAATAGTAACTAAAATTTCATTTTACTGTTAATTTTAATTAAAATAATTTTTGTTATGTTCGTTGAATTGAAAAAAAATAAATATAAATAAATCAAATATTATTTTTTAGTGTCATATTATAAATATTAAATTTATACCATATAAATTACTTGATACATCATCAAAAGTTAGGATTACATTACTAAAAGTTGAGATTTGTTTCAATTATTTTTATTTAGGTTTGGATGTATATTCTTATGAATGTGATACTATAGTTTTATGGATGTACTAGGGTCGGATTTTTGGTCTGTCGACTCCTCGAAATCGAGTTTGTCCTGCTATGTCAAAAATCCAAGTTTAAAAGCTTCAAACAAAGGTATTGAAATTAGGTGAGGCAACATTGTCTCAACTCTTGAACCGAATAGGAAATATCAAAGCATTTATAGAACTACTAACTCTACTCCAAGGAAATTGGTTGATATTTTCACATTTTGCAGAACAGGCTTATAGCTCCAAAACAGTTCGAGTAAGATACATCATCTCAGATGTAAATGAACAATAGAAATCGCGGACTGACCAACTCGTAAGGCCTTATTTGCAAGTAAATATTCACCTTGTTCTTGTCACGCCAGCCAAGTCCGAACGACAATAGCCCCGCCTTTCTTCTGGGGCTATCCAGTGTAGCATGTGGTGTCCTATGAAAGCATGTATCTTTGTAAGAGGAAGGACATTGAAAAGATGATTGAAGTACCTATGCTCTTTGTTTTTCACATAGCCTGTAGTTCTCTTCATCAGAATCAAGTGGATTCAAAATTTATCGAAACATTTTGATAAGTGGAAGGACATATAGAAAAGGAGATATGAATCATAATATTAGAATCGATGTTAGAAGAATACGGTGCTTAAATGTTACTCACCGTGGAGAAGACACCGCTTCAGCTTGGCCACTTTCATATTGCAAAGTAGCCTCCAACATCGATTATGCCATTACGACCCTCTTTTCCATCCGAGCAATAGAATCAATAGCCTTCTCATATTTTTCCTGAAAATGTATGTCTTTTTTTTATATCGACTATAAATCTAGTCCCGAAAGAAAGAAGGAAAATAATGCTCTACTCGTGGGATGTTGAATATGATCAGAGCACAGAAAAGAAAGTAGCAATCAGATGTGACATCTCAGTTAGGAATAAAACATACTTCACTCTTTATGCTGAATGACTTGAAATAGTAAAAGAAGATACATCATTTCATGAGATAAGAAAACAATTTCCAAATAATTAAGCGATTGGTGTTAAATTACACAATCATCTTCAGCCAGCAGGAGAACTGCTTTAGAGAAAAATATAAGACGTATAATGTAATCGAAGTAAAATGTTGAGGAGAATTTGGTTAAATACATTAACTATTCGACACCTTAACTAGAGGTGAGTATTTCATTGCGTTGAGTGGACGAGTCTTATTTTATGATTTACATTTTATTTGAAATTTTTTTGAGTCGAGGCGAGTTTATGAAATTTGAGTCTTCAAATTTAATTGTAATGATTTATTGGTACGTATTGGTTCCAATTACATCATGAACAGAAGAGAACCTGAAGCATGGTAACTGCAAATCTCTAGGCAGCTGCATCTTTCCCCACGTTTCTGCGAGCATCTTCAGTCCTTTGCTCTTGCTCCATTCGTGCCAAAACCTGTAGCACATAGAACATAAAAATCACTCGAAAGCTCAAAAATAGAATAAGAACTATGCATTAGAGATGAGAAAAAAACTATAACTTAATCATAGTAGCTTCCTGTTCTTTTTTATCAGCAAGAGCTGTTGAAAGTCAAAATGACTTTCGGTGCAAGTTGAAGAAAATTGAATGAATTTGTCAAATAGAGGGCACCGAAAGTGGGCTGTTTTTTGTTGATTTTTAGGAATGAGTAAATCTTAATTTTAGTCATTGTAATTTAGGGTATTTACAAATTAGTCCTCAAAGCTTCAACTATAAATACCCTAGCTCATTTAGCTTCAAAATCATCCCAAAGCATTCTAGCTTTCTTCCAATACTAGAGAGAATTTAGAGAATTTCTTGAGAGTTGTTTTCTCCTTTTTTATCAAGAGAGAATTATCATTGTTTTCTCCTTGGTAGATCGAGAGAGGTTGTAATTCCTATTTTCTCATAGTGAAATTCTTCTACCGTTGCCCGTGGTTTTTACCCTATAAAATTTAGGGGTTTTCTACGTAAATTTTGTGTCTCTTTTATCTTTAATTTTATTTTCTCAAATTATCAGTTGCATTTTTGCTCTATCCGATAGCCGTCTTCCGCAACAATTGGTATCAGAGCCAGATTTGAGTGTGTAATATCTGCTTATTGTCTTTGTGGTTGCCACCAAAAGGTGGATCCTCCAACATAAGAAAGTAAGAAGGTATTACCCATTCTTTGAAGGTTCCAGAGAACTATTCACGATAGTGAAATAGTGGGAACTATCCGTAAAAGAAGCTATGGAAACGAAATTTGATATTAAAAAATTCAATGAGAGAAATTTCTCATTGTGGAAATTGAAGATGAAGGTCATCCTGAGGAAAGACAGTTGTCTAGCAGCTATCAGTGAAAGGCCGGTGGATTTCACAGATGACAACAAATGGATCGAAATGGACGAGAATGTTATGGCAAACTTTCATCTAGCATTAGCAGATGAAGTATTGTCAAGTATCGAGGAGAAAAAGACAGCTAAGGAGATATAAGATCATCTCACCAAACTGTACGAGGCCACATCGCTACACAATAAAATTTTCTTTAAGAGAAAATTGTACACTCTCCGTATACCAGAATCTACTTTAGTGACGGAGCACTTAAATACACTAAACACTTTTTTTCTCAGCTTACATCTTTCTGTAAAATAGGAGAACAAGAACGTGTTGAACTTCTACTTCAAAGTCTACCGGATTCGTATGATCAACTAATCATCAACTTGACAAACAATAATGTCACCAGTCTAGTCTTCGATGATGTTGCAGTTGCTATTCTACAAGAAGAAAATCGGCACAAGAACAAAGAAGACAGAAAAGTAAATCTGCAACAAGCAGAAGCGTTAACAACGATGACAACGATGAGAGGGAGATCAACAGAACATGACCAAAGCAGCAGTCACAAACATGGTAGATAGAAGTCAAGAAGCAAGAAGAATTTAAAGTGCTACAACTGTGGAAAGAAGGGTCACTTGAAGAATGATTGTTGGAGTCTAAATAAAAACTCCAATCCACAAGGCAATACTGCAAACACTTCAGATGATGGAGATGCTCTATGCTGTGAAGCGTCAACCACCGAGGAAGGCAGAAAAAGATTTACAGATATATGGCTCATTGATTCAGGAGCAACATATCACATGACCTCAAGAAGAGAATGGTTCCATCAGTATGAACCTGTCTCAGGAGGATCTGTGTATAGTTGCAATGATCATGCCTTAGAGATCATTGGTGTGGGAACCATCAAATTAAAGATGTATGATGAAACAATTAAAGTTGTTCGAGATGTGCGGCACGTGAAAGGCCTGAAGAAAAATTTATTATCCTATGGATTGTTGGATAATAATACAAGCAAGATTGAAACACGAAAAGGAATCATGAAGGTGTTCCGTGGAGCGCTTGTGGTGCTGAAAGGCGAAAAGATAGCTGTAAACTTGTACATGCTGAAGGGAGAGACTTTGCTAGAAGCAGAAGCCTTTGTTGCCTCATGTAGTTCAAATTCTGCAATGCTATGGCATTATAAACTTGGACACATGTCAGAACAAGGAATGAAAGTCCTTGTGGAGCAAAACCTACTTCCAGGCTTAACAAATGTATCACTTACCTTGTGTGAGCATTGCATAACAAGTAAGCAGCACCGGTTGAAATTCAACACGTCAAATTCTAGAGGCAAAAGTTTTCTAGAATTGGTTCACTCTGACGTATGGCAAGCACCGGTTACATCCCTAGGCGGAGCAAAATACTGTCTCATTTATTGATGACTACTCTAGGAGATGCTGGGTGTACCCTATTAAGAAGAAGTCAGATGTGTTTTCAACTTTCAAAAACTTCAAAGCGCGGGTAGAACTTAATTCTGGAAATAAGATCAAGTGTATCAGAATAGATAATGGAGGAGAATACACAAGCGAAGAATTTGATGACTTTTGCATGAAAGAAGGCATCAAAAGACAGTTCACAGTGGCGAACACTCCTCAACAAAATGGAGTGGCAGAGTAGATGAACATAACCTTGTTAGAAAGAACAAGAGCAATGTTGAGGGATGCAGGCCTAGAAAAATCATTCTAGGCAGAAGCAGCCAATATCACCTGTTATTTGGTGAATCAAGCTCCATCAACTGCAATAGAGCTGAAGACACCAATGGAGATGTGAACTGGAAAACCAGATGATTATTCAAACCTCCATGTATTTGGAAGTATAGTGTACGTGATGTACAACTCCCAAGAAATTTCAAAGTTGGATCCAAAATCCAGGAAATGCAAATTCTTGGGGTATGCTGATGGAGTAAAGGGGTATCGCTTGTGGGATCCCACTGCCCGCAAAGTGATCATCAGTAGAAATGTTCTCTTTGTAGAAGATAAACTAAAAAGAAAAGAAGACGATGATAGCGCTGAAAAGTCAGAGACTACTCAGATACATGTGGAAAAAGAGTTTGAACAAGGAGATTCTTTTGAAGCAGAACCAGCACATGATGAACAAGAACCATAGAGTTTTGAAGCTCTAACAACTCGTCAATCAGATCGTGTGAGAAGACGTCCCAATTGGCACTCAGATTATGTTATAGAATGTAATATTGCATACTGCCTTTTAACAGAGGACGGTGAGCCATCAACATACCAGGAGGTAATAAACAACTCAGATGCTTCACTGTGGATGATGGCGATGCAAGAAGAAATTGAAGCCCTTCATAAAAATAATACATGGGACCTTGTGCCACTACCACGAGGAAAGAAGCCAATTGGTAACAAATGAGTCTTCAAAATCAAGCGAAATGGTGACGATCAAGTTGAGAGGTATCGTGCAAGACTGGTGGTCAAAGGATATGCTCAAAAAGAAGGTATTGATTTCAATGAAATATTTTCTCCTGTGGTTCGACTAACAACAGTTCGAGTAGTTTTGGCAATGTGTGCTACATTGGACTTACATCTAGAGCAGCTAGATGTTAAAACAACTTTTCTTCATGGAAATCTTGAAGAAGAAATTTGTATGCTCCAGCCTGAAGGTTTTGAAGAAAAAGAAAAGAAGAACTTGGTTTGCAGGTTGAACAAATCTCTGTACGGTCTAAAGCAGGCGCCGAGGTGTTGGTATAAGAGATTTGATTCTTTCATTATGTGCCTTAGATACAACATACTTAATGCAGACCCTTGTGCTTATTTCAAGAGGTTTGGTGATAACGATTTTGTTATATTGTTGTTGTATGTGGATGACATGTTGGTTGCAGGACCCAACAAAGATCATATTGACGAATTGAAGGCACAACTGGCTAGGGAATTTGAAATGAAGGACTTGGGATCAGCAAACAAGATTCTAGGGATGCAAATTCACCGAGACAGAAGTAATAGGAAGATTTGGCTTTCACAAAAGAATTACTTAAAGAAGATCTTGTCAAGATTCAGCATGCAAGATTGTAAGCCAATTTCTACCCCTCTTCCTATTAACTTCAAATTATCCTCCAGTATGAGTCCTTGTAGTAAAGAAGAGAGGATGGAGATGTCTCGAGTACCGTATGCATCGGCAGTTGGAAGTTTAATGTTCGCTATGATATGCACAAGACCAGACATTGCACAAGCAATGGGAGTGGTTAGTCGGTACATGGCGAATCCATGCAAAGAGCATTGGAATACAGTAAAGAGGATCCTGAGATACATCAAAGGGACCTCAGACCTCAAATGTTGCATTATATTATGGAGGATCAAATTTACTAATAAATGGGTATGTAGATTCTGGCTATGCAAGGGATTTGGATAAAAGCAAATCTACTACAGGATATGTGTTCAAAGTTGCTAGTGGAGCTGTAAGCTGGGTTTCAAAATTGCAGTCAGTTGTGGCTACATCCACAACAGAGGCAAAATATGTAGCAGCTACACAAGCCAGTAAAGAAGCAATTTGGTTGAAGATGCTATTGGAGGAGCTTGGGCACAATCAAGAGTATGTCTCTCTGTTTTGTGATAGTCAAAGCACCTTGCATCTAGCAAGGAATCCAACATTTCATTCAAGGACAAAGCACATACGAGTTCAATACCATTTCATTCGTGAAAAGGTGGAAGAAGGGACGGTA